CTTAATTGTTTCCATACCACGCTGCACAACCCTCTCCCTTCATCTTGACTTTCGTAACTGCTGGTATCATACATACTTCAGGCATTTAAAGGTAACACCAATTTTCTCAAGACATAGTCAAGATGTAGCTACAAAACACTGTCCACTGCTCTCAATAAAGATTTTTGAATTTTTCTACCCCTAGAGTAAAGCCAATTCATTGAAAAATGTTTAACTTTCCACAGTCTAACAACACATTTTGATAAAGTACTACCGAGGAGACTACATCTTTTACGAGTTTTCCATCTCCTATAAGCCTTAATATCAGTGACACTCAGTTCCCTCTAGACAAGGGATGCTAGTAAACCCTAGAGTAGTGGAGAAACTGGAGATTTCAGGTAAATCATCAAAAACCCATAAGTAAATCATCTCTTCATGCTTTGGATATAGAAATCTGATCATAAAAGATAAAAATCCATCCCAGAATTCCATATGCTCCAAGGAAATGCAATCTTTCCTTATTCCTCTTGGTGAGACTTCCCAATTTCCTTATCTACTAAGCAATTTACACCCAGAATATTATCCTCTTCACATTCCAATCTTTAAGGTCCACTACTAGCCCCAACTGTAAATTAAGTGAAATGGTTAAGTGTGTATAAAAGCAATCAATTAATTCCCTGCTTCAGGATCAGTAATCCCCACCTAGTCAAGTGGACTGACTGGCACATTATTTTTGTAGAACAGGTCACAGGTCAATAGCAGGATGCAGTTTCAAAGACATAAAGCAATCTCACCAACATGTACCACTGACTAGTGCTGGGCTACTAATGCATGGCCCAGCCCACCTCCCTTTCCCCAGTTCGGAGGAGAGGCCGGGCCTCTGCTCCTGTGCAGCACAAGCCCCGAAGCACAACTGAAAGACATACACGATACAGTTAGAGTCAATGCTGCCTCCGGCTACTGACAAGCAAGGGGGCACTGAGGGCGTCAGGAGAGTAATCCTTTTGATGCTATAGTTTAAAAAAAGACTCACTCAAGATGCAGAGCACCGGTCTCCAATAGAGCTTTCCTGTCTTGCCTAGGAGGATGTGGGCTAAGAACTGACAGGCGGGAAGGAGAGGCAAGGGTACAGGCTCACAACACAGACTTCTTATAAATTAGGAAATTAGAAACACGAAACTCGAATGTCCCTGTTAAAATTATCTGCTGTGTAAAAAAGAAATTACAGAAGTTCATGAAAAAAAGATTACTTTTGTTTTCTTTGGTCAGCATTTTAAGAACTCTTTTTTTTTTTTTTTAACCATTATGTTTGTCCTTTGTTATCTTTAGGACCAGGGATGGCTGGCTGCCTTTTAAAAACACTGGAATATGAACATGTTTTCATTTTATACCAAAAAGCTGAACGTGGGTTAATCAATTTTAGAATTTTGGAATATCTGAACACTCACCATCTTCAGAAGAACTCTTACATATCATAAGATTAAATTCACAAACACTTTCCATGAGCCAGGGCAGAGGTCATATATAAATCACTCAAGCAAGTCAGGCAATTATGCAGAGTCTGGTATGGTCTTGCAGTTTGACAATGGCCTTCCTGAGAGCAAAGATGCTTCTTGCAAACCAGGATGTGAAATAAGTTACAACCATCTGATATGCAAGAAAAATGCTAGCTATCCCTGCTCCTTGAACTAGGTTGTTTACAAAGTAAAACTCTGCCCCAAATCTCACTTTCCCCCAACAGTATCAGACCAAACCAACAGCTGGTTTATTTTCTCTCTAAATCCCCTAAGTTCTACTGTGTAGTCATTTAAATAACTAACATCTGTTATACTAACGAGTAACAACTTTAAGGTTTTATCATCAGCAAGGCAGAGCTTTGGGTAAAAGCTTCCAAGGTGGGTTGCAGAGATGATGCCTCACTTAGGAAAAACTACTCAGAGTTTAAAGAAAAGAACTGCAAAGCTGCAGTTAAGATTAAAAAAAAAAAGTCAACAAGGTCATAAGTGACATAGTCTGTCCATTTCCAGACATATTTAAATCTTAAAATTTTTAGGGAGGAAGGTTTTTGGGGCAATACCAAAAGCATAAAATTTATTATCAACATCCTCTAACACAGACGTATACACATCAGGATCATCGTCAACTATTTCTGTACCAATTTAACACCCATGAGAAAAAAAGGTATTTAAGTATATTGTACACCTAACTATTTCCTGAGACATTAAAACACGATACTTGATAACACCAAGGTCAAGGGTTTGGATCCCCTTACCATCCAGCCACCATAAAAAAAACAAAAACAAATGCATCACTTTATATTCATTTCAATGAAAAATGAAATATTAAAAAAATCTGGCTTTGAAGTGTAACATAATATGTAAAAAGGAACTATTAACAATGACTGATCTCATTTTAGATGAGCCAAGTTTACCAGGCAAATTTCTTAGCACAATTTTAAAGATTAAAAGTAACAAAATCTGTTAAGTGAATACAGAGACAGTTATGAAGAAACCAAAACTTAACAAAACTTAAAGGTGACCTTAAAATTCTAATGTTTCAAATCAATAGAGATTTCAATTTTTCCTGTTTTCTCAGAGAAATAAAGCCCACTCTAGTCTAGCCACTCATATCTCTGAATAGATGTGCAGAATTTAAAAATTTGGAACGATAGGCTGGTTGGCTCAGTTGGTTAGAACATGGTACTGATAACACGGAGGGTTTAGGGTGTGATCCCCGTACCTGCCAGCCACCAAAAAAAAAAAAAAAGAAATATTTAATAAAAAATTCCTTTCTTACCCGCAAACTATTTTAATTGGTTCCTGACAGATTGCTACCTCATAAATTAAAGAACTGTATTAATGAGTATGAAAAATGTGATTCTTGTATAAATGCCAGGCACTGAATGGAATGACAAGGTTTGCACCTACAAATGTCATTTCGAGATCACTTTAGGGATCCTGAATGACATGTAGTGGGTTTTTCTTTTAAGAAAATATAAAAGGAAAAAAAATGCAGATTAAGAAAAAGAATATTTTCAGGAGTTTCATTATAATGACTTACTTCAAAATAGCTGCAAATTCTAACACCAGAGCTGTCCACCTGTTCATCCTCTCGACTTTATCACTCAGCATATATATGCCAACAACACTTATTTTTCCTCCCTACTCTAACATTATTTTAGGACAGTACAAAAGCAAAAGGCAGTTAAAACTCAGCCAAATTGACATTATCAAGTGCCCAATCAGGAAAGGGATTTGACTGAATTCTTCCAAAGTCTTGGATAAGATGTTAGCATTAGTAGACGTGCTCTTGATTTTGAGGGCAGCTCAATTCAGCTTCTCTCTTTAAAATCTAAACCTGTCCCACATCAGTATGAATCAAGTGGCTGGCGCCTCACAAATCTCAGGTCAGCCAAAATTAATGCTTTATTTCAACCTTTACTTAACCACTGGACATCTTCTTGTTCCTTCCTTCCTACATAGGGTGACAGTTGAATGTAACCTGTTCTAGCTCCTCGCTACCTGGGTTTGAAACCTGACAGTCACTGTGTAACCTCGGTCAAATGACTTGACCGCTCTTAAATTTCTTCTGTAAAAAAGGAATAAACGATAGTACCTACCTCGCAAGGTTGTTGGGATAATTCAACGACATCTATATTTAAGTGCTCAAAGAATGCCTGACACACAGTGAGCACTTTAGAAGCTATTATAATTACAGTAGTAATTTCATGAACACAAAGCGCTTAACACAGAGCCTAGCACTCCGGAAAGATAACGATACTGTCATCGGCTGGCTTCATGTTCAGATGCACGTTCAGGAAAAGAGCGCGGAGACCTTTCCAAGATAAGGACAATTTAAAAGGATCGGGGGTGGGGGGGAGGCAGAAGGAGACAGGGTCTCACATCCCCTTGAGATATGAACGTTCGTCACCAAGTAACAACAAATGGGTTCCCCAAACCACAAAAAGCAAAAATAAAGCCAAGCAGGATAGGAAAAGAAAACAAAATCCGGTGGAACTCATCCCCCCTCAAACTGCTTCTCGAGAGATGAGTACCCGAAACTCGATCTCGCGGACAAAAGTACGGTGCACACCGTCCAGCAGGTTGGACTGGGGCCCCCAACCTTCTCTCCTCCAAAGACTGGTCGGGTTTGCCGGGGGCAAGTGGGTAGGGGCGGGAAACGTGGGGGTGGGGAGCGGAGTTTTCAAATTTCACGGCCAGGAAGAAAGCTGTATCCTCGTACAATGAATGAGCAGAGCTGGAAGGATCCGCGGGTGGCGCCAAATTCGGGACCCCGGGCCGGCCTCCTGCCCGCTGCAGCCCCCGGCCCGCTGGCCAACTCGCGCGTCTCAACCCCGCGGCGATGCAAGATCAACCGGCCTCCCAACTCCCCTCCCTCGAGCCCCCGGGGCAGCCCGTCGCCGCGGGCCCGCCTCCCACCCCCAAAGTCCTCCGACCGCCCCCCTCACCTTCCAGCAACCGTTGGATGATGCTGTCGATGTTGAGTTTATCTATATCCGCCATCGCCTTCCCACCGCCGACCTTCCAGCAGCGGCGCCGCCGCCGGCTCGCGCCCGGGATTCACGCCTCCTTTCCCACGCCACGAGCAGAGGCGGGCTGAGAAGTCCCACAGGCGCCCTGTCCCTGAGGGCAGATGGGCGTGACTCTGACTCCCCCACCCCCCCAACCGCCCCACTCCCTGCTTCCTCCTTCTCTCCCCACTGGAACCACGAGAAGAACAAAATGGCCGCCGACTCCTTAGCCAACCTCGGACGGCGCACGGATGCGCGCGGGGGAGTGCAGCGGCCCGGCCGGGACTTCTTTATGGACCAGAGGGCGCTCGGGAAGGGGCGGGGACATGCCGCGGAAGGGGGCGGGGTCAGAGCACGGGACTGGAGGGACGGTTGAGCGTAATTGCTTCCGAACGCGGGATTCTTCCGCCAAACGGGCCGAGCAAATAGGCCCCCTGGCCCGAGCGCGAGTTGCAAAGTTGCATGCGGTAGTTGGGGTGGTCGGAGGAGATCAGTGGTACGCTCCGAAGGTTGAGGCCTCCACCGGATCCTGTTCATTGGGACCAGATGTTTGAAGACCTGACCATGTGGAAACCCACTGAGGGATTTCCGGGGTCCTGGGATTCACCTCTTAAACTAAATCTGGGGTGGAGAGAGAGAATAATAAAAACGAATAGGTTGACTTGGATCCAGATATGCTGGGACTTGAAAAGAGAAAGGTTTATTGGGTGTCTAGAAAGAAAAAAACCCTCTCCCATGTAAGCCAAAATGTTAACAGTTATTCATTGTGAGCGGTGGGAATATGGGTATTTGTACTTGTATTTTTTGTGCACTTCTGTAACTTTAGATTTGGGGAAAAAAACGCATCCTCAAAAGGAGATTTCATCATCCCTATCTTTAGATTATCTTTCTTGAACTCGGGAAGTTATATAATCATTGGAACGGTTACCCTGATTTTAGCCCGAGCAAAGTTGAACGAGCGCGTGCAGCAGATAAAAGGATTTGCAGATTTCGTGCGTCGGGGCGGGGCCGGAAGAGAGCAGCGAACTTACAGAGGCGAGCCGTGCGGGCGGCTCGCGGGTTCTGCCGACATCCTGAGAAACTTTGATCCATTTCCCTCCGACTTCCCAGCCTCCCTAAGTGCATCCCTTTCCAGGGGGTCCCCAAACTGCCACCTCCGGGAGCTGCGCTTCACCTTTAGCTGGGTTTGAAAGTGTAGCCCACACTCAGCAAACACATCTGCGCTTTTTCCTGACGTTTTCATTGATCTCTTTCTTCCTGCAGCGCTTTACAATTTGCAAAACCCTTTCCCTCCCCCGCCACCTCCGGGAGCTGCGCTTCACCTTTAGCTGGGTTTGAAAGTGTAGCCCACACTCAGCAAACACATCTGCGCTTTTTCCTGACCTTTTCATTGATCTCTTTCTTCCTGCAGCGCTTTACAATTTGCAAAACCCTTTCCCTCCCCCGAGAACTTCATTTTGTTTCTCAAGGCACGCAGGATGTACGAATTCCATCCCCTTATGCCATCGAGGGCATCCACCCGGATGCGCCACCCGGGAGTCCATCTTCGGAAGCGATGTGCTCCCAGGGCCCGAGCGGCACGGCGCGGGGTCCGTGCACCCTGATGTGTGCCTCCTCAGGTGCGTCCCCTCGCTGCTGGCGCGGGGCCGTTGAGATTCAAGGCTCGGCCTCTTGCTCCACTTTCCCCAGTCACCAACTCACTCCCGTGCTACAGCTCTGTCTACCAGAAGTCACACGAGTACTGTTTCTCAGCACAAGGCACTGAGTCCAGTTGGTGACATTCGGAGTCAGTGCCCAGCACTGCTGTGAACATCTGGCTATCGAGGTCAGAATGGTTCTCGCTGGAGTCCAGGAGACCTTGGGATCCTCCAGGATAGGGCACATATAGCAATGGCATTTAGAGCAGAAATGTGAAAGACAGTGTGATTCATTCAGCAGACCAGTATTTATAGAGCATCTACTCTGTGCCAGGCATTGTTTTAGGTGGGGGAAACGGGTGCACAAGACAGAGAAGGTCTTTCTGTCATGGACAGTCATTTAGTAAGCCAGACAAACAATAAACAAAGATGCAAATAAAAATAAAAACTTCTGGTAAGTGGAGAAAAAACAAAAAACAAACAAAAAAACCAAATACCACATTCATTTTTTTAATAAGTGCCAAAAAATTATCTCATCGAATCTCCAAGACAATCCTAGGAATTATTTACTATTCCTATTACCCCATTTTACATATGACAGAGTGAGGCATGAAGAGGCTAGGTTGTTTGCTCACGGCCACACAGGCTAGTAAGTTATACAGCCAGGGCTGGAATTCAGGACAACCTGATACCACAGCCCTTGTTCATGTTCAATAAATCCCCATAGTGAATCCATAGCAGCTACCACAACTCAGGCACACACTGGGCACATAATCAATGTGAAACCCAATGGGATGATCTAAATGTAAGAGTGCCATACTTTTCCATACGCCAAATGGCAGGTGTGTTAACCTCTGTCAACATACGAGGGCTGGAGGAGGACTTCAGACTGAGCTGGGACATGGGAGAGCTTCTGTGCACAGCCATTCTCTGCTGGGCAACTCCCCTCCAGAGTCCAGTTTTGTTGGCACATGCCTAACTGAGTTAGCTGGCTCCACATCTGAGAGTGGCATAGCTCACAGGGGTGGGCCTGAACAGTTTTTGGGAACCAGCAAACAGCTCATGAAATAGAGAACTGATTTCCTATTGGCTTTTTTTCTGCCATTATCAACACTGGTGGCTTCCCTAAGGACCAGCAGATACAAGCATTCTGGCCTAATAGATGGAGTGTTCCTTCCCTTCTCTAGGCCTCAGTTTACCTATCTGTAAAATAAGAGAGTGGGTTAAAATGTACTTTTCAAACTGTCTTCCCTGGAACCACAGAGCTTTCTTAGGGGGCTGCTGAAGATGGTGGGGAGCTGAGGATGAGAAGAGAGGGGCTGTGGATAAAATATTTGAAAACCAATAGTATCTCTAAAGATACTTAGTCTTTGAGGGGATCTCAGTGCCTAAAGGGACTAGGCCAATGACATGAAAGAATTCAGCTATCGCGGTATGGACTATGGTGAACTGCAGAGCCCGTGTCCCATCTGAGGGGACGGCCTCTTCTCAGCTCCAGTCCACTGGGGGGCCTTGTGGGAAACTTGGGTGCAGTGTGACCAGATACTCTGAGTTTTCAGCACTTGGTCGTATATATTTTTATGTGAAATGTTTCGATTTAAAAAAGTTGGTCATGATTCAAGACAGCCAGAAAAGAGGGTCTTGAATGTTATAACTACAAAGAAAGGATACATGGTTAGGTGATAGATATACTAACTATTCTGATTAGATCATTATATAATATATACATGTATTGAAACAATAAACTACCTCATAAACATGTACAATGAAAAAATGAATTAAAAATTTAATAATAGGCTGAAAAAAATGTTGCTTATGAACTCAAGTTCTTTCAAAACACAGGTTGAGACAAAGCATATCTGTTAGTTACATTTGGCACTAAGCCAACAATTTTGGAACACTGTTCTAGAATGTTGGGGATAAACTCTTCCTCTTTACTCCCCCCAATTTAATGAGCATTAGGGTTATTGTTAAATTATTGAAAGGAGTGTTGGTGATGAGATTTGTCAGCAAATTCAGACCTCCCTGGATATGCCAGAGGTTTTGTACAAAGTAGGGAATCACAGGAAAATATATGCATGAAAGCTCTTTGACAAAGTCCACAGCTTTATTTCAACATCCTGTGGTATTACCAGCAGACCCTGGGATTCTCTTTGGCAAATGTTTTTGAGGCTTTACTCTGTGTTAGGCACTATATGAGAAACTGGGGACACAGTGGTGAATAAACCAGATATAGTCCCTGCCCTCATGGAGCCCCTAGTCTAGTGCAGGAGATGGGTAAAGAAAAACCAATCAAAGAGGATAATTTCAGAGAGTGGTGTGTTTTATGAGAGAATTACAAAGGGTTGTGTGACCATATAGGGAGGGACTCTGAGGATTTGACATTTGAGTCAAGATCTGAAGGATGAGAAAGAGTAAGTCATGGGAAGAACTCCATAGGGAAGAGCATTCCCAACAGAGGAAATAGCAAGTGCAAAGGCCCTGAGGCAGGAACAATCTTCCAGTATTGGAGAAATGGAAAAAGGCCAGAGTGGCTGGAGTGTAGTGTGAGGGGTGAGGGTATGGCAGAGGCCAGATCACTCAGGGCATTGCAGACTATGAGAAGACAATCAGATTTTATTCTAAGTCTAATGGGAAGTCACTGTAGGGTTTTAGGTAGAGGAATGACAGATTGATTTCATTCTTTTAAATAAACTTTTTATTTTGGAATAATTTTAGATTTGCCAAGAAGTAGCAAAGATGGTACAAAGAGTTCACATATACCTTACACTCAGTTTCCTCTTGATATTAACATCTTACACAAGAGTGGCATTGCTGTTTATTTTTCCTGACGCCTAAATCATAAAAAAAAAAATGGTGGATTATAAACTATCGCATAACATCATTACCCAGAAAGTATCTTCTCCTAAGTAAGAGCTGATTTCATTTTTAAAAGATCCCTCTTGATTCTGTGAGGAGAATGCACTATATGTGGGCAGGAATGGAAGTGTAAGACCAGGGCGGAGGCTGTTGAAAATGTGGCTTTACTGCTCTGAGCCTCAGTTTTCTTATCTGCAAAATGGGAACAGTATCACCTATCTCAGAAGGGTGTTGTGAGAATGTACCTTACAGTGTACTTAAAGATCAGGTAGGAATAATGATGACAAAAATGATGATAATAATAATCATAATAGCTGACATTTACTGAGCACTTACTATGCACCAGTCTCTGTGCTCATGACCTTTCATGCATGTTTGTATCTAATCTTCACACCATTTTAAGAGTTAAGCTTTAGAGAAGGGAAATCACTTGTAACCCATCCAAGGAGGGACAGAGTCAGGATTTGAACCCAGGGACTCTGGCTTTACATCTCTTACCTCCAAACAGAGGAGCTGTGTTCCTGGGGATAAGGAAGAGCCGATTCTTTTGGATGTTCCCAGGAGTCTTCTCAGAGTAGAGGG